ATTACCAAGTGTATAAAAAGATTGTTTAAATGTCTAGCAACAATGACTGAGAATTTTGCTTTAAGTTTGTCCAATCGCCTTTTTTGTTCAGTAACAGCACTTAGTTTGTCTAAACCTGGTGGAAGAGGTGCTGTAATAGCTTTTAAGAGGGCTACACCAGCAAGGCCAAGCTCTTCTCTCTCGCCTGGAAGTTCTGCTTCATTCAAGGTACGTTGGTATGTTGCAGAAATATCTAATTGCAACTTGAAAAGAAAGAAAATTATATAGTCTCGTATTCTCAAACAAACCAAAATGGGGGATCTGATAGAAAATTCTGATTAAAAAATTATGCCATATCTTTTATAAATGTTTCTTTATCAAATTATTGTAAAGTTATTTTACATATTATATTATTTAAATCGTTGTAAATACAATGAAATCTATTACTTATTTTTAATACAAAAGTAAGGCTATCTAATATTACTGAATTATGAAAATATTATTTAGAAAATATTAAAAAATATATAAACAACATTGAAGTATCATTTTAAAGATCGCGTAAACAACGATTTATTAAAAAATAAAGTTTATTTAATGTAAATTTATCCCAGTGAGAAATGACAATGGAATCGACGTCGATTTGACGTCAACTCTTTTGCACCTCATTTGTGCTGCAGCTACATATTTGCACTCTATCAGACTACCATATATTGGATGCATTCAGTATTACAACCGCTCACTGAGCTCTTGCATCTAATTGGCATATTCCGTTAGAACTAAAAATATAGACCAAACAGAATAGGTGCATTCAATACCATGACCGCTCACTGAGCGCTCAGTGAGCTCTTGTATCTATTTGGTCTATATTTTTAATTCTAACGGAATATGCCAATAAGATGCAAGCGCTCAGTGAGCGGTTGTAGTACTGAATGCACCCATCGTCTTGTAGAAGAAATATTTTGCCATGAAACTCGTTTTGACTTATACTTTACGAAGCCTATTAAAGAACCAAATTTTGCAATTTCATTCCTAAAAACATTTTAATGAATAAAATAGTATGCTCCTTATTTACAGTGCAGATACTTGTCTTTATGTTAATATTTTATTTCTAAGAAGTAATATTACGTCATAAAATCTTTTTGGATTCTTTTTTTTATGATGATGGAAAGGCTCATACAGAATCGGATTTTGCAAATTTTTTTTGATTCTTGAAAATTTTTTAATAATAAAATTGTATGTAATAATGTACACCTGAACTGCACTATAGTACACATCAGGTGAGATATCAAAACTTTTATTTTGCCTTTAAAAAAAAATCGCTCTGTACGAGCCTTCAGGACCCTTTTCTAATTATTATACAAATATCACAATTAAAACGTGATTCATCCAGTATTTTAGCCGTAATTTGAGCACAAAGAAATTCGTCTTCAACTAGAAGTCTCCACAGTTTCTCTTTAATAAGGTGAAACATTGCGCATAATGACGGTAGCAATACTGGAAATAACCACTCAAATATGCACTTTCCTGCATATAATAGCACTGATTATACTGGAACAGCTAATCAAACGTTATCCAAATTCGCTTTCCTACCGCGTATCCACGAGAGTACTTCACCTTATTAATTCCATCACGGTGCGGATGTTCGCGCACAATCCTAGGTTGCGCACGTGGAGAATCGCTGTGTGCAAGTGAGTCGGATGCTCACTGAAATGAGAAAACAACATTTCTCGAGGAAACCCGAAGCCTGCCCCCGACTGTACCCGATCTATCCGAATATATCTATCTCGGTTGGCGCGCGGCTTATTCAATGTAAATGGAGCACGGAGAATTTTTTTGTATTTTTCTATGCAGTGGGTGGGCTTCGCGTCTCCCTGAGAAATGTTGCTATCTTATTTCAGTGAACATCCGACTCACTCGCATGCAGCGGTTTTCCGCGCGAGCCTTCAGGATTGTACCTGAACATCTGCACCCTAGTAGTAAGAAAATTAATTTCATAATTTTTAATTATATTTTGTTCTCCTTTACTTACAATTACTAGATTTAGTTTATCCAACAAAAGCCTGGCATTATTATTCGCTGTATGTATAGCTTGATTTTTTTGACCAACTCGAGCCATAACTTCTCTTATTCTTCCTAAAGCTTCATCATATGCCGCTAGTCGCGCTTCTACGATAGAAGCTTCAATTATTGCTGCATCTATACTATTCATCAGTTGCGTTACTCTCTGCTCTGATGCTAAGACTGAATGTACATTTTCCTAAGGAAGAATAGAAATAAACTATTAATATCGCGATATTAACTTGTATATTACTTTTGTGTATTATATGTATTACTTATATTTCTATGATCAGTTTTTTCTATAAAAGAAGTATTTATTTTACCCCATCAAGAATAGATAGATCTTTTGAGAGAGTTTCCATAAAAAGCTCAGCGTTGGAAACAGCATATTCACAATTTTCCATCATTTGTTTTAAGTCAGCAGCTTCCTTTTCAGTAATGGGTTGGTAATCTGAACTAATAGGTGATGCCAGAAGATCTAAAAATTATTATATTGTTAATTAAGTAGAAGAACCAATCATTTAAAAATTTTCTTGTGAATATAATTACATAAAAAAAAGTATTAGCAATCGCAAACTCATTAAATTGACCAATAAAGACATACCAGGTGTAAATGTGATACTATCACTTTCCTTCAATGCGGTTGGATCAATCAGCCAGTCTTTAGGAATATTTTTAAATTCTGGCCTCTGAGTTAAGCTACACGAATAAGTATATAAATTACTAATAAACGTGCGCCTTTCTTGTACAGTAGTGGATGACCATTTGTAAATTTTGTCAATATGCATCTCTATGTCCATTGAATCGTTTTTCACACCATCTATGATTTGTATATCGCTTAGAGGCCATGATTGTTTCTTTTTATAAACATTTTTATCATTCTTCTTCACTTGATACAATATAAGAGATCCTGGAGTATCTGTTGTCGTAGCCAGACACAGAAAACTCATCTTTTTCTTCTTGTAAGCTTTGCTAACATAGCATACGCTGAGTAATTTTTCATCGCTAAGAGTAAATACCTCCCTTTGCAAAGTATGTCGTATAGCAGCCATTGCTAGAACTTCATTAATCTACATAGTTTGCTATAACATTCTCTACTTATAATCTTCATTATTGCTTAAATATTGTTTGCTCGTATCCTCCATTTCGGACTAGCTCTAATTATTAACAACAGTAGAAATAATAGTAGAATATGGATTTAGAATTCTGTTCTCACCTCCGACTTTGATAAAATTAGGCTCATTCGACGTTTTTGCACGAAATAAAAGAATCTGTAAGAAAAAACATTAGGTCGGCCCCCCCGAACCGAAATATTAAGCGTTAAAGTTAACGACTATTCAGGCATATTCAGGTTAGGAAATCTGTCATATCGACGAGATGCAGCGCCATGTAGTACGAACATTGGGCGCATTCAAGTTGACAAAGCGGCTAGCCTGCTCGCCAAGCAAATGAACATAATTGGTTGTTACTTATAGATCCAACCAGTCATATTCAATCGCTCGGTAAGCATGCCTAGCCGCTTTGCCGTCTTGAACTCGCCCATTAGGGCCATGGTACACAAAAAAACTTAAGCGGTAAAACGTAAGCAGTAGCGAATCCAACATGTTGATTTCCTTACTGCTTACGTCTTACTACCTTAAGTTTTTTATGTGCCAGAGCCCTCATGCGTGGTCTACAATGGGCAGTAGCAGTAGTGGATTAAGAAGTTGGCGTAGAAATCAACCAATCATAATCGAATGTGAGGAGAATAATCAACCATGA